GACCACCAGAGACTATACAACCTTGGCGGAGTGTGTTCATGGACCATTATTCATTACACAGGCGCAATCACCATTCAATCATTGTTCACACCGTTAGGACGTTTTACGCATCTTTCATTAAGCGACATAAACGATAAAACTTTGCGGTCCAAAGAAAAGGCCGTAAACAGAATAACAGCTACACTCGTTGAATGCGATTTTGCAACTCATTTAGCTCCACTTTTTAAATCAAAATTTTGGTATCCCATTATGTGATCCAGATCTGCCAGTGAATCATGCGACGTTCTCTGGAGTGCGGTGCAGGCGCTGGACAGGGTGCCCCATTCCTCCAGGCTGAATGAACTGACGTACGCCAAGGTGAACATGTGTAACATTTTGGATTCTCAGCACACATAAAGCTGGCAAGAAACCTTTTTACAGATATTAATGCAAATAATATCTGCACGAACCTCGTAATCCATATCTTAAACTTGGATGCCCACCAACTGGGGCTGGAATTAAGTTTGTTCAGTGTGCAATATTCACGCTTTTGTATATAGTTCCGTCACATTCATGCAGTTCAGTTTAATGGCCATCACTGTCATGCAGCCGTCTGGGGAACACAGTGACATTTAGTACAGTAGATTTTGGAGATTTACATGCATGAAAACGTATCTTTTGAATTCGCCACCTTCAGAACAAAAAAATTCCTATTTGTTTCCTTTTTTTCCATTTTGCATGTCTTTAGTGTTATTTAGCACGGGTTGAGTTACCCAAGGAGCGTCCACCATGGTACTTTTTTCTCTCTTTTTTCTCTGTCCATCAGCAAGTAGTATGACTAACTGAAATCAATCTACATGTACATGTACACGGAGCCTTTGCAAAACAGGCTATATAGCTCCTGTTCTTTACACAATATGCACGGTCAAAGTCCACCGTCGTCCATAGTGCATGCATGCCTCATACATAGAGTGTTCATTACTTACACCGAACTGTAATGGACCCCTAGCCCTTAAGCCGACCTAGATGTACTTCCAATGTGTGGACTCTGATGCAGGGGCACATACATACAGATGTTTTGATTTAACCAATAAGGTACAGGGCGGGCACGACTTTTGCCTACCCAGCCACGCCAACTGGCGTTCATGGGGTCCAGTTTAATACCAACAAGCCTCAGTAGTCAGGGCCGATAGCCCGACAGGTAAAATTGTGCCCATTGCTATACATGTAGGGCCTACATGTATCTGGAAGCTGCCTTAGGAATGGTACGGGAATCTCCTTTCGCGGTATGAAAACGTACTGAACTGGCTCCACGCGGCGTAAGATTCGCCATTCGCTGGGGCAGGTTCCAGCGGCCTGTTGAATCAAGTCAGAGTTCTACTTGTTGCGATTTCCCCCGGCTGGAGACGACGAGTCGGGAGCATGGTTCATAAAAGCTGGCGTCTTGTTCTTCTTTTTGAAAGCAGCTCCTTTCGCAAGTTGTTGGCTTTCCTGACCCTGCTGAATGCCGTAAGCTTATTGTTGGCGTCGGTCATCAATTTCTTTATTGTCATGGGTCATGTTAACCATAAATAAGGGAAATATGACCGCCAACGGAATCATAAAGCGTATAAAATATGAAACGATGATCCTGCGTTTGGCGAGTCGCATGTTAGGTTTTTATACTCTTTCAATGCAGAGCAACCCTTAGGAAAGTGACGACGTCAAAGCAAACTATCCTCATGTAGCTGGTCGTCTGCTTCGACTGACCTTAAAAAGTCACTTTGGCATTTCTAATTGTGCGTGCGCTTTTCAAGATATGCAAAATCACTTAGCTGTGCCAACGAAATTAGCGGCAAATTACTGTTTTAATCACATTTGAATATCGATACCTTCACATTGTACCACCTTTCGTGAGTATTTTTAAGCTTGGACTTACTTTGCGTGCATGTATCTCCTTTGTCTGTAGACACGGGATATATTAAAAGTTCATTTAATTTCCCTTTTTTCCTGTAGTGTCAGCATCGTGCATTGGATCGTAACTAATTTATGAAGAGTGCAACCCAGACACTGAGTGACAACAGGATAGTCAGGTCCAAAACACATTCCCTCAAATCCTGTTCAGGGTTTCAGCATGTCTTTAACCACTGTATGCAAACGTTGGCTGGGAAGGTCAGGAGTACTCGGTGGAAGAAAACTCCTGTTTTTACTTTCTTTGCTGCTGCTGATGATGGCAGGTTCGTGTTTGTTCTTTAACGAATTTCTTGATATCCGGAGAGACGAAACCAAGCACAGCTTGCGTCAAAATAGCAGAATCATCGCCAACAAGACCAATATTTTCAAAGAGAGTGTTGGTAAGCCAATATCTGCAAACTCTACCCGGGAAAGTATCGACGCGTCCACATCTCATCATTCGACAAATCTAAGGAGGAAACAACCTAATATAGTCTTTATTCTTGCTGATGACTATGGTTACCATGACATTGGTTACCATGGCTCTGTAATCAAGACACCTGTTTTGGACAGACTTGCCGCAGAGGGCGTGAAACTTTCCAACTACTACGTTCAGCCGATCTGTACCCCAACGAGAACGCAGCTAATGACCGGAAGATATCAGGTAAAAGTCACTGGTACCCTTGGATCCGTCCTCATCAATCTATGGCAAGTGACTTAGTTATTTCATTTTGATAAAAGTAATGCAGTCAAGTCAAATTAAATAAAATCTCGGAGTGCAGGGCCAGCGCGTTGATACCTATGACGCAGTCTCTAGCAGCTTTCTGGTAATGGTAAATAAGATTCACATCATGCAGTTAAAACATATTGAACTGCACCGAAATACCTTTTTAGCAAAACAAGCGTTGAACATCACTTTCAGGTGCATTTTCAAGGGTTGTGTCTCAGAAAAATTACGTTGCATACACCCTTCAAGCTCACCCCAAAGTCCAGATCGCGAAAAGCTGCAATGCGTTTGCTAGCTTATTGCTTATTAATACGCCACTATTGTAAGCATACTTCTGGAGATGCTGATTAAATAAACACAGGTTAGCTTAAAACACGGTGTTTTTATTTGATATTATTTCCACTTTCTTCTGTCACTTAGATTCACACCGGATTTCAACACGCCGTCCTTTACCCTACTATGCCAAGTTGTCTTCCTTTAGATGAAATCACAATTGCACAGAAATTAAAAGAAGCGGGCTATTCTACCCACATAGTAGGCAAATGGCATCTTGGATTCTACAAGAAGGCCTGTTGGCCAACACGACGGGGCTTCGATACCTTCTTTGGTGAGACATAACCAGCTGATTGTTCGATTCCTTTCTACCGTTCAGTATCCGCCTCGAGCTGAAGCACTCTCTTATCGGCTGAAAAGAGCCATATTGGTTGGGAATGTTCATTTGTTGGTACCGATGCGACCGTGCATTTCCTAGTCGTTCGTAAAGCAGTGAAGTTCAGTTCCGGCCAAAGGAGCCTCAGTTGCTAAGAAAATTGCACCCTCTTGTTTCCCCCGTGTAGTAACTGATTATTCCATGTCTTTGTATACGCAGTAAAAATGGGGTCCCAATATGCTCATGGAAAGCTCCGTTACGGTACAAGTCGATGCTGTTTTACCAGCTAGATGCGTTATATCTGGAGTACTGTGCGCAAGACAGCGACGTGATCAGGGCATATTTCTATGGGTTTTCTGTGGATTATTGCGTTTCGGTTTGCAACCAGACGCGTAGGCCTACCGTATGTGCATTCGTGGTGTTGCATTCGGCCCAGACAGTTTAAAAAGAGTTTTGACAAGGGTTCACAAACGTCTTAAAAGGTGTCAATCTAAATTTTCCATAAATGTTCAAGTCAAAACAACAGAAATAAGAGCAATGTTGTTGGGAAGTGAGTCCTACAATTTTTGGCCTAAATCTAGTCTTATTCAGTTTACCTTTCACATCATCACACACCGGTCACAACGTGAAGAATTTTGCACAGTTTGCAGAACCTAAAACACACGCTGCGAAAATTGTGGTGTTAAAATCAACACATTTTGGTGTTATCAGATAACCAAACCATGGGGTGTTCCTTTAACATCGCTGGTGTTACTTTGCACACCTGAAAGTGTTACAATGTGCAGGCGTGGCATACATAGTGTGGACCTTTGCACAAAAGACGCCCACATAATGTAGGGTGTGATGGCGTTGTGTGGACTCGCACACGTCCACACAATGTTTTCCCCTCTCTGAAAAACATTTTGGGGTCAAGGTTATCCGTGGTAAAATGAAAAGGGACAGTCCAGGAAATCATCAAAAATCCAGCTCGAAGGTGTTATCCTAGTTGGAAAAAAGGAGCATTTTCCTCAAGTTTCCTTAACCACAGAACAAAGGGATGTCCACACTATGTATGCAAAACAGGTACGCGTGCACTGGGGGTGTCAAAAGTAGCACCAAATAACAGCAAACGTTTTAACACCAGTGAAAAGTGTTGGTGTAGTTCTCTTAAAACACCGGGGTGTTAAATTTAACACCCTAGTTTTTGCAGTGCAGCATTAAAATCGATTGATGCGGGGAAGTTGGTCACCACATCATTGTACATGTGCATGTACTGTAATTGTGATTGACTGACTACTGTGGAGAGGTGTGAACGAAATTGACCAAGAAGGACAGTTGCTTACCCCAAGAATTTTGATTATCATATATTTAAAAAGCATCAATTACTTTCTTGGTTTGTTTCAAAATTATTTACACCTACACTTTATCAGCATTCGCTATCGTATTTCCACACGTTGATCGTAAAAGCGGACAGTGCACGTCATAGGCAAACACTTGGTGGCTTGTTGCCTCGTGATAGCCAATTAAATTCAAGCTAAAGATTTTCCCTGCTTTCTGAAGTATTACATGCATTTAAGTATCGTTGTTGCTGATGTCAGGTTTTTGTGTGTCCTTTTGCAGGATTTTTAGAAGGCAGCGGCACTTACTACTCGCACATGAGGGGGTCATTCTATGATTTTAGAGACCAAGAGGACGTAGCTTGGCAGTATAAGGGGCAATATTCAACTCATCTCTTTGCGAAACGAGCACAGGAAATTATAACCAAGCATGACAAAGAAAAGGTAGTAACGCCGTACAACTTGGTATTACAAATTACAGTTCGTGTTACCAACCTCCTTCCCCGAACACCTTTGTGATTACTCCACAAGAAATCCATTGGCACATGTTTTTTCATTCAACTTTTTAAAGGTACCAGTCAAGGGCCTTAACTATTGAACCCTCTTGCTGGTTCGAATTCCTGATTGCTTGGCTGAAGAGCAATCACGAGGGGCCACTATCATTGTCAAGACGACGCACGGACGTTAATTCTGATATTTAGTGCCCAATTGGGCACTATGCATGTACCCAATTTTGGCCCGGTTATAGTCCCCAAGTATTAAAACCGTGAAATTTTCTAACTTCATAATTTGGAACGGAGGTTATGCATGGCAGCCATCTTCCCGGTCAGTGTTTTTTTTATGGGGGAGGTGCCAAAAAGATCTACTCATGCGTATCCCTATTGAACAAAATACACTGACAGGGAAGGTAGCTGCCATGCGTAACCTGGGATTTCGGCGCATTGACGTACACTACAACCTCATTTCTGGTCCATTATGTGTATAATGTAGAGGGATAACTCTGCCGCCGGATAATAAACGCGACGATCCATGGAAGCAGTTGAAAAGATTTGGGAAACTGAGAGTGAGAAATGTTTATTCCCGGTCAAGTTCTTCAACGATCCCCCCTCAGAGGTGTTCTTTTTTCGAGAGTGTCCTTTACTCACAAGTACTCTCTCCCTTGAGGGCTCTGCACTGACGCACGCACGTTAATAACTGTGCCGCCTTTAATGTCGCTTCTACCAGAGGTGGTGAGCATAGTGGCCTAACTGTGCCTTCTTCAATCATGCCATACATTCTCACGCTTCATTGAGCAGTGGATTTTTAGGATCTGAAATGCTAAATGTCCTCAAAAGTAACTCTACTCCCGTGTAAATTTACAGCTTAGAAAGACTTCACCTGGATCGCTATACAGTTCATTGCACAGTTGGACTTTATCTGTCTACATGTACAATGTATATGCCTAGGTGTTCTGTGTTCGTTCCATTGGGGCTGTGTTGTTGTCGAGTCCATTACCAGTCCATCCCAGTTCACCTGGTCAAAAGCCAAGTCAGAAGCTACATGAATTCAAATTAACTTGGACAAAAATACACCTTTTTCGTAGTTCAACATGTAACTTTTGACTGGTCGTGTGAAAGTTTTTCTGACTTGACTTGATAAAGGCACTTGTAGTAGGACTTGCAATGAACTGCATTGGGGGTTGTATATGGAAAAAAATTCTTTTTGTCTTCAAGAAAGTAGAGCTTAAAGTGTTAACTTATACTGTACAATTGTGTCTATGGTATAAGATGAAAGCGGAGACGGAACCAGCATGGTTATATATTATAGCAGGTAGCTTGTAAAGGTCATTTCTCTAACAAACGTAGGGATCAGAACCGCTACTATTAGTAATAAAAAGACTTTCTGATGATCTTTTTTCTTCCAGCCGTTTTTCCTGTTCGTGTCAATGCAAGCTGTCCACATCCCCCTTGAAGTACCCGAATCATACGTGCGTCATTACGCACACATCAAAGACAAGAAGAGGCGGACCTATGCGGGGATGACGACATGCATGGACGAGGCTGTCGGGAACATCACGACAACGCTGGACGAACTTGGTCTCTGGAACGATACATTGCTAATATTTTCCACAGGTATACGTTTTGGTACGGATTTGACGTGTATATTTAACACATTAATCCTCTACTAAGGAGAGCAGGAGTTTAAACAAAAGATTAAAGCTTGTAAATGCATTGCAAGGTGTCACGCTTTTTAAGATGATATTCGCAGAATAAACTTCAGGACGTCTTAACTTTCTAGAGTGAGCTTTCTCTAAATTGCAAAGGAAGTTCATTCAAGACAATTTAATGGAACCTCTGCAAAGTGCCATTTTCATTAAGAAAAGTGCAGTTTGACATTTGAATGACAAAGTTCCGATTGTCAAACCTTTTATTAGTTCAGGCTTGCTGTTAGTATCCACCTTTGCGTTTTTCATATACACAATAATTCATGGTCGTTTAAAATATGTGTGTTTGTCTTGTGCTCAGATAATGGAGGGGCACCTGAAGCAGGCGGGTTCAATTGGCCGCTACGAGGGAGGAAGAAAAGCTTATGGGAAGGCGGTGTCCGTGGGATTGGGTTTGTGCACAGTCCGTTGCTAGACACTCACGTTAGAGGCACTGAAAACAATGAACTCATCCACGTTAGCGATTGGTTTCCTACGCTCGTATCGGGTCTGGCAGGGGGAAGTTTGAATGGTACCAAGCCCCTTGACGGCTACAATCTGTGGGAAACCATTAGGTAAGACTCAAGTAGCAGCGTATCCAGCTTTTGGTGGGGGGGGGGAGCAAATTCAAAACCAAATGCGGCTTTGGTTGGAAAAATCGAAAGCCTTACTCATGTTCCCTAGGCTTTTATTTGTGGTGTTGTTTTCTCCGTGTTTGGTGCTAATATTTGATGAATAAATATATTCCTTTCTTCCCTACTCACCTATGAAGTATTCTTAGTAAATAAAATAATAATCCATCCGGGGGGCAAGTCGCCCCCCCCCCGCTGGAAACGCCAATGGACTCGAGGTATGCAAGATGTAAAGCAGTCGCTTAGTTAGGATTTACTCCATTGTCGTCGTTACAGTGATGATTATTACATTGTGGGTGTTGATCCTGAAAGGGGTCGATAAAAGTGGAGGTTCCTTTTACCCCAAAATTGTCCTTTTTTACCCCTTCATGGTGCCACATAGAAATTTCATTTGTAAACTTGGAGAAGTAACACGATTTACATTGTTCAAACTGCTCCCACAAATGCCTGTATGTGTAGTCCAAGCAGTCCTGTAGGTTATTGGCTCTTTTAGTACAATCTGTTTCCGCGGCTCCTTTTCATTTCAAATCAGTGATAATGGGGTTACATTAGAAAAAAAGAATGGGTAACATTGGGTACCTCTTGAGCAAAGGCATTGATGTTTCCTTAACAAAATTATTGTTTTTCAATCCACTAGGTCAGGTGCACCCTCGGCTCGCAAGGAAATCTTGCATAACATTGACCCATTTGAAGGTCACAAACCTCCTTTCAGTGATAGTCTCTACAACAATTTGACGTTTACGCCATCAATACGGGCTGCCGTACGGGTTGGAGACTGGAAACTCCTGACAGGACCTGTTGGTAAGGAATACTTGCTTTCATCTTAAACTGTGCTGATTCGATAGCAGCATTTTTAGGGAGTTATACCAAAGCTTCCTTTTTGACATCTTTGCATAACAGTGCATTTTGAATTATCACATTTTCGAGGTGTTTTTAAAATCACATTAATTCCACTTGAGGGAAGTTCAAATGCGGAGAGAGTGTGCGTGTTGTGCTTGTTTCTTGGTAATCACTTGGGACCGTGATAAGAAATACAGAGCATCGTGTCGAGTAAACTTGTTTTTCTGGTTCTGTAATATTTCCTTGAAAGGCGCTGGCCACTGGACCCCTCCACCAGAATCTGGAAAAGCAATGACACACTCTACAATGAAACCCGAGCAAAATATCTGGCTCTTTAACGTTAGAGATGATCCGAACGAAAAAAGTGACCTGTCCGAGGAGAGGCAAGACATCGTGAAGAAACTCATGGGGCGCCTGCAGGATTATTTCAGCACCTCAGTTCCCGTATTGTACCCAGACTCAGACAGTAGAGGAAATCCCAGGAGGTTGGGTGTTAACTACTGGACAAACTGGATGTAAAGATGGCGTCCGTCCACAGAGAAATCGCTGTCATGATTTTAATTTTGTTGTGAAATCGGTCTTTCCAGTCAGAAAATTCGCGGAGATCGACAATAGGTAAGCAAAAGGAGCCTGTAATATGAATAGCGCCACCTACAATCGTCTGTCTTGAACAGCGCCTCCGAGCTCCTGATGACGGATGAAATTTAGCCACTTGGCTTTGTATTTCGACAGCTTAATGTGTCGGCACCATGATGGTCCCTCAATCAGCCTCCCCATTAGTGGTCAAACCTCGCCTGTTTTTCCCTATTCTGGGCCCATTTATGGAAGCGCTCAACTTAGTTTTTACTGTGACTCAATGTGAAAAGCAATAGGTCCAAATTATTTTTTTTGAAATTAATGGCGGCAGATTTCAGTTACAAGCATGACATCATTACTTGCAAGAATTGGTGAAATCTATTTATAGCGCAAAAATCAAGGGAACATAGGTGATCCTGATACCAGGTATTCGGCTGAAGCCTGAGCCGAAGTAGTTCCGATCTCATGTTTTAAAGGAATGACATGTTACACTACATGTTACACTACTGAACTGAGAGCAGGCAGTTACGTGAACACGTACCGAGTAATAATATTTGAGCGAATTCCTTTTTACTTTTTTTTTCAAAATGTTGTCTCGATGTAGAATTTCGCTCATTTCGGCGCGGCTCGTATAGTCCGGGGAAGGTTTAATGCGATAGCGGAGTGGAACGTTACTGTTTTCAAATTAGGGAAGGTACTGTTATTTTACATTTCAATCTCACGGTAAAATTAACGTAAACCTTAAATAACGAAAACATGAATTATTATTAATTTTTGAAAGAAGTTTACAAAACACCTTTTCCGAAAAATGAAAATTAAACCGTGTTTACCTCTAACAGTCCTAAATTCTCCAATTCCATTCTGATTTTATATACACCCTAGGCTGTTAGGGTTAAAGAGGCACAGTGTTTTGCCTGTATTTACAAGGACACCATTAAAATTATTGCGTTGTCATTCTAAGCACAGCTAGCTTTTCTGCTTGGTGAGCTTTTGAGGTAGGGGGCCTATTTAACCCGATCTCAGTAAAAACAATCCCATCTTTTTCATTGGATGTTTCCTTGAATGTTAGTGATATAATAACAAATTAATTGCCGAATATTATTGACAAAAAATTATCAAGTTTTTGATCCAAGACACGCATCTTTATTCATATTCAAATCTGTTGTAAGCGTAGGGGAATGTGTGCCCTTTTCTCCAGGTTTTCCCGGCTATTTTAACACGATTTCCAATTCACAAATGTGTATTTTCGATGTCGTCTATTGAAACCGATGCAGGGTAATTTCAGTGTTTAATTTCGTCACTTGTCAGACAACTTCAAATGTCGATTTTGACGGCCGAATGCAACGCACACGTGTGTCATGTTAGGGCCTAATGGATCAATTTTTGTGTTCCAGAAAGTGAAACGCATGAATGCATCGTGTTGGCAACGCACCCAATAACGTACACATGGGAAGGTACCCTTATTCAAAAACGAATTCGTCTTTCGTCGAACATTTTTATTATATGTTTGCACCATTTCGTCAAGCCTCTTTGCAATTCAGTAGAATGCATACGTCTCGGGGAAAGGGATTGTCACGAAACGAATTCTATTTCTGAATGCCGCCAGTCTGCAACCCCTGTTCAACTGTATATGACGAATATTCTCGACGTTTTCTTGAAATGTGATTGAGCAACAACTTTTAAAATTTAATGGTTAAAGAAGCAACCGTTTTAGGCAAGGCTGGGCTCGTTTTTTCTTGGACTAAATTGAAACTGTTATATAGTGTATTCCTTTGTTTTTGTCAAATTATGCAGTCTAAACATAGATTGTGGCATTGACACACCATGCATTTAAGTGCAACTGCAGTTGAAAAGTTATACAGAGATGCAAGGACGCCTATTGATCTGAATTTGTGAAATATTGATTACATGTAGTTGTTTTTAAAAGTTGATTTCGAAATGAGTGTGACGACCAAGTATCCGTCTATAATGTTAAATCTCCGGAGTACGATTTCAAAGTTTAGCGTTACAAACCCATCTGACGCGTATAGAGGGATTTCACATTAGCGTCGTGTGCACATATCCGCATCAAAACCGAGGGTCTCTGTGTTGAACTTCATCGCGCGCACCCGCGGAGTCCACACAGTACATGCAGTATCCGGTTCNAGATACACGACCAACGCAGGTACGTTAGTTCGCGGTAAATTGCCGTTATTTTTTCTTTTGATTTTACGTGTCTAGTCATCCTGAAAGAATCTTCCACAAAAATTTGCAGCCTGAAAAGTCTGAATTTAACATAATTTATGCATTTTGTGTCTTGGCTCCTTACTTTCAATCGTCTGACCGTATTAAGAATTGAAACTGACACATACAGCCTCGTTTTCAAACGCAGAAGTGCGCAGATCGACGCTAAAAGCGTCGTATTGGGATCCCTCTATAGATCCCAGGACTGAAGGTAACAGCAAAATTGTGAGGAATACACGTGTAAGGAGTTTTTCCCACACATTTACCCGTGCGTCATTTCAGTACGCCCAATATGAAGCGCATTAGAGGTCATTCGAGAACAGCTATCCTCCCGATTTGAAGTACAACTTCATAGGCAAAGAATAGACAGGGTGGTTGGAAGCTTCTCAACTGGGCCGTTGCACGCGCCCAGGACACACGTGGTCATAGGGTCCCTCGCTGAACATGCATTAAGCCTTTGCGCGCAGGTGGTAATTTCCCACCGAAGTACCACAGACATAATACATTGTAAACGCATAGACCGCCAGACCGCATTCAAAACTACATGGACATTTCCTGATCTGTGCGGCGCTCGACTAAAATCAAAACTACGGGCAAATTCACCGCCTGGTATAGGGAATTTACGAACAGGTGAAGAATTCTGGCCATAAAATTCTATGAAGCCATTTTTCGATTATGAAAAAAATCTTCTATTTACTGAAACTGGCCCATGTAGACTCAAGACACTGCCGTTGCGACATTTGAAAAGAAGAGATAGCGGTACGCTCTGCTATCCATCATTTTCCCTATGGTTGCACTACACCAAATACGCGCCCCTAGAAAACAGTGCAAAATCGGACCGAAATAGCGCCACCTGGGACTCTCGTGAAGAGGTTGGCCTCTGTTTTTTCACAGGATATTCAAGATTATTGCGAGAAGACCACTTTTCATTTGTTTCGATTTCATGGGGGTTAGCCACGAAAGGGTTTTTTTTTTTTTACTTCGTCTTTCAACAAAGATACCCCAAAAATAAGCGCTCCTTTCTGAAAGTTGTCGCCCGCCTCTATCCAAAAGAGGCCCGCAATTTGGGGCTTTTAGTGAAATAAATACCCTGAAGTGGAAGCGGTCAGTCCTTAATTCGGTATTTATAGAAATATTCCTATGATGCCTCCTGATTATGGCCTGTCTTATTGGGAAAATCCCGTGGGATAACAAAATATTAATGAGCTCGCGCGCAGAAATACAACCATTTGGTGGAATTGCACCCCTTTTGTTTGCTCATACTTTTCAAAATCACAGTTATACGCGCAAGACTATCGGTCTTTTTCGTGTTATGTCTGTGCAAAAGGACCGACGTTGCCTTGTGAAAACAAGCACTCTCTTGTTCTCTCCCGAAGCAGATCTACGGGCGCCAAAGGTCGGCCCAAGTCAACTGGGGCCGTATGCCGGTTCAATCAAACGCAATGAACGTATTCGAGCTAACTTGTTTCAGTGCACGCAAATGGCATTCCTTTTGAAAATATCGAGTCGGCTGCTTCCACGGGCGGGGAGGGTACCGAAGTTAATTAAATATGAGACTGGCAGAGTTGCCTCATCATGAGCATATTGGTTTATCAGGTTACCAACCAGCACTTTTTCTCGTACCCTGGTGAAGTTGGCTTCCCCATGAATTTTCTTTTTCCTATGTCCCCTATGTCTCATTTCGTCTTGGATGTTAATGTTTGTCATGTAAAGCACCATTAAGTGTGAAGAGTCAGATTGTAATATATAGTTTCTTCTTTGTTCTATGAAAAAGTCGAGGCGCCGGCTTAAAATGTGCTTTGTTGAATGGCAATTATTAATTAAGGGTAACTGTCTATCAATCATTATACGCAAGTACAAGCAAATGTACATTGTTTAAATATATAAATCAACTGTGAATAGTATCTGTAACCAGAAAAAAAGATATATTCGTGGGATTTTAAATTGTTGCTATCACTACATTGTATTTAAATACAACCACAATACTAGCAGCATTATTATATATCACTGATAGTGGTGCATGTTGGTAAAGCTACAGTGTGTATTACGCTTAATATTAACACTCTTGTAGCAATACCTAACTGTTACGTAGTTTGGCTTAATGAAACTAGACATCAATTTATTCCAGACTAATTATGGTCCATTGCTTCATGTTTGCTTTGTCTTAACCACTGTAGTTGGCCATCATTTAGCACTTAAAAGCTTACAAAAAGCATCTCGACTTAGCATAGAGCACACGTGGTAAGAGCTGATTGGGTCGTTGCACCAAATTCATCCTAAGAGTAGCCTGTGTAAATGATGAAATACCTGTCAAGGGATACGGAGGTTGGTTGTATCATTAATCTCTAAAGACTGTCATTGTGCATTGTATATGCCATTGAACACAGCGCTTCTTGTAATTTCTCACAGCCAAGCCCATCAGTTTACAGTTCCCGATCGTGAAGCCTCATCTGGCATTATTTTAATTGGATGCAATGAAGTAACATTTTCGCCTTTTTCTTTGTAATGGGCAACTAAGTCGAAGATTTTGATAACAAATAGGAATGATTGAACATCCCAGCGTCTGTTTCTAGGCAACCGTTGACATTTATCAACGTCTTCATTGGTTGATGATTGTGACACCGTTTCTCCAGGAAGTTACCTTCAGAAGAGACAACATCCGCGGAACGGGGATTGAATAACATACTTTCGGTTGTGAGTGAATGTCCAAAACTACTAACGTGCACGACTGACCGTCAGATGAAGGCCAGGCTGATTAAACGTGCGTCGTGGCTTTTTAAATTCTTGTATGAAAACAACGGACTTGGGTACACTGACTTGCTCACGAATGCATGACGGCTGCAGTCTGCGCTCAGTGGGTGTTCAATTCTGACGAAACGTTTTACTGGTGGAGCGAGCGAGCGAGCGTGTTGGATATTTAATCAGGAGCGCAATGTGTATGAGTCTATGAAGTTGCGTTGTGTATGTAGTTCAATACTTCGGTCTTTGTTGGGAATCGTTGATCGACATTATGGTACTATCATTTCAATGAAAATTAAACGCCAGGGAGTATTGCGAATCGCCAGGAATATTGATGATACCTGACCAGGGCCACCGACCGAGGACATTTGTCTAGCCGACAAGATGCCTTTTTCACCGAGAATGCCAGTGCACATAGCAACAAGGTACGGTAACCCCTGGTTTAAACAATGTACCCATTAAGATTAGTTGGATGTTAGGATTAAGACAATGGGTGCCGAGTTTCAACATGATGGCTTAACACAGACCATCGTGTTTTTATGCCAAATCTTGACATTGATACATGAAATGGATGAGGACGCTAGTAACAATTCCAAATCTAAGCTTTCAACACCGTGACAAGCAAGTCAAATTTCGTCTTCGGTTCTTCCGAATGTTGTTAGTTTCAATTCATTCTGTATCCCACCTGCACACAATAATAATAATTATTATTATTATATTAATAAATATTTATATAGTGCACTTATCCAGAAAACCGATCAAGGCGCAATACATTATATTACTACCCCTGCTCACCGGGCCCATGAAACATTCCAAATACCATCTCAGCTCCCTAGGGAGAATACAGCTCAAGGCTGCCATTTCTGTGAAAAGCAGCTAAATTAGTCACAATAACCATCAACAGATGCGCATCTACTTCTGTCCATCCATGGCTTGTTCTTGTTATCTGTTTACCTGTTTTGCTCACGTGTTTGAACACAAAATGTCAAAATTATCTGAAATAAATACATCATCATCTTTAAAAGAACAGTCACACATGTCACGCATTTTGGACAACATATTAACTAGTCCTATGGATAAATTCCAAATAGATTTCGTTGTTTGAATGAGTACATTTACCTTGCCAACGAGATGTGGCATCACGATTAATACACCCTTTCTGTGTGGCATTATACAATATATTTTTCAATTATAGTATCCCTTCGGCATGTAACATGCATTTCGTGGATAGGTTTGGTTTTCTTTCAGGTTAACGCATTTTCTATGGGTGGTCCTTAAGTTTTGCAAATGACTGTACTTTGTATGTAAGCAGTGACTGAATAGCGTGTTTACAGATAGAAGACAAGGTTCGCAAAACTGGGCTTAACCTCAAAGGAGCAAATGTATATCCTCTCCCTCTAACAATACTAGTCATTTCAAGTCTACGAGTTGCCACCAGAAAAAAATATGAAGCGATGAAACTAACTGACTAAGCAGCGAAATAAAGTTACCAGGGGATTTTGCTTCAACCGGTTCTCATTTCAGAGTTAAATATGACCATTATAGCGTCTATTCGGTACAAGATATCAGCTTACCCGTATTTTTTTCATCGCCAATTTAAAAAGCAGGTACTAGTCCGATCTTTTCATTCGCGTTTACGGGTGCATCAGGAAGACGTATGTACACTTTTTATTAACTTGCTGAGCGTATCTCGTCACTTTAATACGCCAAAAGGTAAGCTTAAAAGCAAAAATGCATGATAAGAAGACTTGGCACGTTTTATCTGATCGCCACAGTACTGCTTGCACTAACACACGACACGGATAGATTCCATTAGGCTGATCATCATTTCGCCGCGGTAACATCTACCCCATATTGACATCGATCTAATGGAAGCGACCCATATCTGTGATTCGTACAGATATAATTGTCCTCCGCCATCTCCCTTCATCCAACTACAGATTTCTTTTCCGTAGGCAAACACAGAATAATAATCAAGCCAGAGTTGTTCCATAAATCTTTCCTTATTGATTTGTTTAAGGCTTTGGAGTGCTTCGGAAATTTACCTGGCGACATGTTGAATGGAATATTTGCAAACATGTGAAACAATGTTGTCCACATAAATCCGGTGAAATTCCAATCCCATTTTTGAGGACATCGAATAACATTTCTCTGAAGTGGTGCTGCTAAGCCATTTGTTGGGACGAAATAACACACATTCCAAGCATGCCACTATTAACAATTCCAATCCAGTTCGTAAGTGTGATATCACTTCAGTTTAAACCACGCTCATTTCACATGCACTGCACATAGAGTTCCGTGCATTGATAGCCGTTTACATGGAACCGTGGAACCGGAGGTGAACGCGCAAATCGTGTCTTGTCATCACTCACAAACCGGATAGAACTGAAAAAGATCTAAAAGTGCTGAAAACCCTCATGCTAGTGGATGGTTGTTAGGAAATTATCTAAGTGTAGGTTTACTCCATGCAGTATAAAAACACTGACCAATTCGGAAGACAATTACTTACCAAGGTATAGGAAGTCATGAGTGCATTCCTTTGTTGTCGATGGTGAAACTATTGATCCATTTTGCGCAGTTTTTGAAAGTGCTAGACTGACCTGTATCCTGCGACACGTCCCCTACTATCAAGGTCTGTAACGTACATGTCGTGGTTTGTTTTTGGGGTGTCTTAAAAGGACGAAGGATCATTAGAAGACGTGTCAAGACAAAGTAATCCTGGCCTTCATTTCTATGATTTCAACCTATAACATCTGGTTGGAAGCATCCTTTTAAATGTTTTGGTAAAATTGATCCCAGCAAGTTAGAAATGAATAAACCTTCTCACTGCGTTAGTTGACAGACTGCATGAAAATGAAATCGAAAGAATCTAGATATGTTAGCGCTTTAGGAAAAAACAACTTCAGGCCTGTTAACTTTTCATTATTACGAAAATATTAATGTATTGGTAGATTATTGGCATTTCAACCTCCACATTCCCTTCCAAAAACATAAATTCCTTCTCTGTTAACCAGATTTCTCCGGTACAAGCAGGTAAGTCAGTAACTAAGAGAGGGAAAGGGCGGAGCACCCCTTGCTCGAGACCTGTACCCTTCTCCCCCTACCCCCCGCCCATCCCGCTCAGAAATTGGAAAAGGAAAAGATGTTTGAAATGTGACCAAAACCCAGAAATGCTCTCGTTTAGAAAATATGGGCCCGAAGTGTCCCCCTGCAAGATCTACGGCAGTCACACGCCACAGATGTACGGGCAACATATCAATGCAAAGAACAAAAATCCGTAAACCGAGCAGCCCGCGCATGCACCATGCGCACCTACATGCCTCTCGAGGCTCCCACTGCGCGAATGATTTTTCTGTGCACAGTATATTCGAATTGGATTTCTTAGAACATCCACTTGTTGCCATAGTAACCTCAATTATTTGCAACCGCTGAGGGTAGACTGCTTCCATTAGAGAGGACGCCCAAGCGGCGCTGGTAATACAGTGTCATGACATCAATAATTCAGAGCGTCTTACGGCGAAACTGTTGTGGCATACACGTGCAAAACTCGCAGTGAGGCCAGCAGAAACCGTTTCCATCAAAATAAAAAAGTGGAAGAGCTGGTTGTTGGAATAATTGTGACTTATAATCCATAGAGGGGGCTCATAAATTGTACACTGATCCTTTTTTTAGATAGCGGAACTGTGGAGTAGAGAAATGGAAAGGGTGGCTCAAACCTGTGTATAGTGTTGCGATATTGAAACGCAACCTTGGATCGAAAAAAAAACCTCTTTGTGCCTTCTATTATTCACCCTAGACCTAACCCGTTGAGCCTTATATTGTATCTTGAAAAAAGACAAAAACCTAGAAGTGTTTATAGAAGTATAAATACTTCTTCGCTTTTATGTTCCAGTCACAAATATTACATCTGTCTTGGCAATCGTGAATGCATGCAATCTCGAACAAGCCATTGTGTCGTTAGACTTGGAGTAAAAAGTGAAATGAAGGAATTACTAAACCTCCATAAAAGGGTAATTCTTTCCCAGAGGACTGATTTTCATCTTTGAATCAGTCATAGGGTGTGTGTTTAAATTTCCTATTTTCTTTGAAGGTTAGATGGTATATTGCACGGGTTTCATTTGGTTATCGGTTCTGACGTTCTGTATTATTAACAAACACGACGACGCCGTGCACATGTATACATTATGCAACAAGTCATACTACATGCTGTTGGCGTTGAACGAACACTTAGAGAGTACGGTCAATTCAACCGACGCCTCAATTTTTTATTTCGATTTCCAAGAAATATAAAAGTTTATTTCATTTTTTTCTTTTTAGTCAAAAACAGGACCTAAAACAGGACGGGGGATAGAGTTACCGGAGGTCGGTCGAGCGAGAGCCTACCGTAATACCTGTATGCCGAATCTCAGGGGTCTTAAGGGTCGGTTATTCACGGATATCTTGTTTTAAAATGCATATCGGTCTAGGATGAATAAATCTTTCATATTATTAGGTGCTTGTTTGACTTTGATACACCACTAAGTTTGTGCATAACCCTACCTATGTGGCGTTTGCAGTAAAACCTACGAGCATTTTTATCCCTACTCCATATATTTCCAAGGTTGTGAGAATAGCATTTCAAATCAGCGATCTTCATTAATGTATCAGTTTAAGATTTTTTTTCAAAGTACAAATGAAAAATGTATCCGGGAACCTCTTGCAGAAAGTTGATGTACGAGGCCCACAAAAATGAAAGTAACTGGTTTGATTGGTTGTAATGCTTCTATACCGTGTGTGAATCGGCCTGGAAATTATTTCAAAACATTTTTTCCCAAGAAAGGGCATTGTTGTCGGCCTACTTCTCTTTGTGCCGACTTGACCATTTTTAAGACGCAGAATGCGGAGCAATTCCTGGTTTTATCTATCCGTCTTTACACGATCAAATATCAAGGTAATGAGGGTTTCCGAGGAAATTCGGCGATATCACGTTACGTCAAACTTCGGTTGTACTTTTTCCCGCTATTTTTGGATAGCTTACTCGCCATTCATTTGAGAAAGATGTCGCTATAAATGGAATATCTGAACTCTTATATAATGGCATTCCACTCCAAAGACGTTAAGTTCTTGTGAATCTTCGGTTTTATTCTGCTTTCTTTTTCAAGTGAAGTTCTGCGTCGTTCAAACTGCCAAGGCATTGGGCAGTACCTGATCACTGCAAGCTGCAGCCTAACTCCGATGCATTGTTGTTTTATTGCTTTAGTTTTGCTTTTAATGTTTTGTTTGAGGCTTTCTAGTACATCAAAGGAATCGAAACGATCGATCCCAGTAACGTACGATAGGTTAAAACAACCATAAATGATTCATGACAACCTTATTGGTTGGGCCTTGGTGTCTGCGCAGCAAATTAGCGGGTTGTTGGTACATTCGAAATTGGCAGAATTTCAGA